CCACGGTGAACAATGTGGTATCAACAAAAAGAAAAATTAACACTGGGGTACCCCAGGGATCAATATTAGGACCGTTATTATTCATCCTATATATAAACGATCTACCAGCGCAAGATACTCTTTGCAAGTATGCTGTTTATGCTGATGACACAACAGTCTCTAAAAGAAATACAACATTTACCGAGTTATTAACTAGCATACCAGAATCAAAAAATAAACTTACCGATTGGTTCACTAAAAACAACTTGGTTTTAAATGAATCGAGAACCAACGATGTAATTTTTACCCTAAAGAATTCTGAAAATATTCCAAATCGCACTTTAAAGTCCAGTGCAAAATTTTTGGGTGTGTGTATTGAAAAATCCCTTAAATGACTATTAAGTTTTATAATATACTATCGGTGTCGGTGAAACGCTTGCCAATGCCTAGATTCAAAAGCTTTATCAAACCTTTTTTGTTTTAAAACGGCGTTCTACAACTAAGAAGAATTTTTAACAAGTCAAATTGTGATATCTGACTAAGATCTTTGTTATAAGAATTCTGTGTAAAGTTATAATAAACATAATACATTTTAATGACGTGTATAAGCAATTTAAGTGCAAAAATACGAAAATTATTATCTATTATTAATTTCTCGACTTCCAAAATTTTCAATTTTTCGATTTGCAATTTTTCAATTTTGCTATTCTTCAATATTACAATTTTTCATTATTCGATTTTTCAGTTTCTCGATAATTAATTTTACTATTGTTCATTTTTTCGTTTCCTCAATTTTTAACTTCTTGATTTTATTTTTTTTAACTTTCATTTTCTAAACTTAATATCATAAATTTTCGGTTTTTGTTTTCTTTTTTTTTCAATGTTTCTTTCGGTTTTATAATTTTCTGTTCATTCAATATTTCAAATGTTCAACCTTTGATTTTTCAATTCCTCGAGTTTCAAATTTTTTAGATTTTTAATTTTTCAATTTTCCAATTTTGTATTTTCAATTAGCCGATTCTCCGAATTCTTTAACTTACAATTTGCCTTTTTGTTTTAATATCTGTAGATTTCTTTTCACAAGATGAAATTTAAAACATGTTTAAAATGGAAAATTTGTATAAGGAAATATCGATTTTGCAATAAGGCACCGCCCCATAATTGCAAAATCCATATTTCCTTGCAAAACTGTACCATTTTAACCATGTTTTAAGTTTCTTGTTGTGAATATATGGCTACGTATATTAAGAAAAAAAGGCAAAATATAAGCCCCGCCCACCAGCTCTATCTCAATTCTAACGATTTTTTTATTCGTCGTAAGCCGAGGGGCGGAGCGTAATTGCAAAATCGATATTTCCTATACAAATTTTTCATTTTAAACATGTTTTACGTTTCATGTTGTGAAAAGAAGTCTACACATATTAAAACAAAAAGGCAAAATGTAGCCCCGCCCACTAACTCGACCTCAATTGTGGTGATTTTTTTATTTGTCGCGGGCAACGGGGGCGGAGCTTAACTGCAAAATCTACAAGAAATTAAAAACATGTTTTTGAGTATCGTGTTGTTCAAAGAACACTATGTAAGTATATATATATTAAGAAAAAATTAAAGCCAAAGATTAAGCCTCACCCATACCTGCCTTGATCTAAATATGTAGTAATGAAGTTTTCATTCGTTGCCAGACCTAGAGGCGGAGATTAATTGCAAAATCCACATTTCCCTACAAAAATTTACCATTTTAAAAGTGTTTTAAGTTTCTAAGAAAAAAAAATCATTGTAATTGAAAAAGGGTGGGTGGGCGGGGTTTATATTTTGTCTTTTTTTAATATACATAGTATTCTTTGAACAACACGATACTCAAAGACATATTTTTAATTTTTTGTAAAGAAATAAGTATTTCGCGGTTAAGCTTCGCCCCCTTGTTTCACTGTGAATTAAAAAAATTATCAGAATTGTGATAGGGGTAGTGGGCGGGGCTTATATTTTGCTTTTATTTTTTTTAATATACACAGGCATCTTTTCACAACATAAAACTTAAAACATGTTCAAAATGGAAAATTTGTGTAAAGAAATATGGATATTGCAATTAGGTTCCGCCCATTTTAACCATGTTTTAAGTTTCTTGTTGTGAATGTATGGCTACATATATTAAGAAAAAAAGGAAAAATACAAGCCCCGCCCACCCACCCTAACCCAATTCTGATGTTTTTTTTATTCGTCGTAAGCCGAGGGGCGGAGTTTAATTCCAAAATCCTGAATTTTCTACGAAAAATTACCGTGTGAAATATGTTCTTAAGAAATCGTGTTATAATACAAAGAAAACTAAAGACATACACATATAAAAATTAATTTTTCAGTAGTTTCAGAGATTATCGGTTTAATAAAAATCCCGACAGGCGGTAGACAGACAGACAGACAAACAGGCGGAAACAGGCGATCTATTGTTTTTAGAATTTACGACACCTGTCTGCTTGCTTATTGTACAATACATATTTCCTTTTTTCAGTTTTAAACTTTCCGATTTTTAAGTTTCATAATTTTAATCTTTCGACTTTTCAATTTCGACTGAAGTAAAAAATTGAAAAATCGAAGAACTGAAAAAACAAAAAAGTGGAAAATCGAAAAATTGCAAATCAAAGAACTGAAGAAACGAAAATTTAATAAAATTGGGAAACTTAAAAAAACCCTAAAAGTTGGAAAAAAATTAATGAATCAAAAATTGGAAAGAAGAAATAACGAATGGAATCAAAAAATGTTGGAAATAAATGTTATCGTGCAAGTCACAGCGTCAGTACTCTACTTCCAATACTACCGATCCGTGCGCCTGCGCAAACACGTACGGATGGCAGCACGGTCGAGACGAGAACAACGAGAGAACGAGACAAGAAGACAATATGTTTTATTGTACTTCTTTTTCAATATATTGTTTAACGTGTTTTTGTGTTTTGCTACCCACTCACCTCTAATAACAAATTAGAAATCACAAAAATTGCCAAAATCGAAAAATTATAGAATTCTTAAAATTGTAAAATCAAAAAATTGAAAAATTAAATATTGAGCAATTGAATTAAAAATGGAGAAACTGAAAAATGGAATAAATGAAAAAGTTTTAAAAGCCAATAAATAGGTAAAATGAAAATAAATACTAAAATCGTAGAATTGAAACAGTGAAATATTTAAAAAAATGTAATTACTGTTACATATTTAAAACGAAAATTAAAAAAATTAGAAATCAAAAACTGCAGAAACGAAAAATTGAAAAAACGAGAAACTGAAAAAACAAAAGACCAAAAAATCGAATAACTGAAAACCGAAAAATCACAAATCTAAAAATTGCAGAAACGTAAAACAAAAAATGATAAAATCGAAACATTGAATAATTGAAAAAGTGAGGAACATACAAAGCCGAAACGAGAAATTGCAAACCAATACATTGAAAAAATAAAAACTGAAAACGAGAGAAACTCAAATCGAAAAAGTAGAAATTCCTAAATTTGGAAAAGTGAAAAACTGAAAATTTTATACTTACGAACTCGAAAAATTGCAACTCCATAAACCGAAGAAACAAACATGAAAAATTGAAGAACTGAAAAACTCAAGTCACAAAATATGCGCGAGTGTTACTTGCGCCACTGGCTTATAGATTATAGAAGTTATCAGAACGAACAAAAATCGCAAATCATTTTTCAAAGAAGCGGGATTTGTTGGGCTTGCACCTCAACGACGAGGGAAGATCTGTCGAAATAACCGTCAACCAATTTGTTTCAGCTACTTGGTACTTATTGGTGATAGACATAACAGAGTTCTAGTTAACAGCTGTTCACAATAATTTTATTTGCTCACAGAATGATTTATCACTTATTTGTTCTTTGTATTCCTCTTCCAAATAATTTTCGCGATTATGAACTCATTGAATAGTTGATACAGGATGTAAATGCGAATCACGTAAGGATAAAACGAATATTATTGGAAATTTTAACGTCCCTGCTTACACCGACAACATTAACAACATCTTTGTTGTTTCACTAAGAAACTTTGCTGCGTCCATAATTTTACTCAATGTACTCTTAGTAAATTTTATTTGTAGTAAACTAAGTCGTACCGATCTAGAACTTTCTAACTTCCATGTTGTGTTGACAGATATCAATATCTTGTTATACCGCGAGATGGAAAAGAAATTAGTCAAAGTGGGCCATGCACGACACGCCGTTTGTCGTAATTTAATTTTTTTTATTAAATGTCAAATTGACAGTTTAAAATTATAATTATGACATCTACTTTTAAAACACATAAAAATGAATCAAAATCACGGTTTTCCAATTTTGTTCCATTTCTGAAGTAATATTCTAACCAAAAAGTTTTAAATATCGTTTGTTAATATTGCAAATTACTTTTGTCGACGTGACGTTTAACAAAAAATTATTTTAAAGTAAGACAAACGGCTTTTCGTGCATGGCCAACTTTGACTACTTTCTTTTTCGATCTCGTTGTATTGGAAGACTACCCAAAAAATTTCAGTTTCATCAAGCTAACTTATAAAAGTTGTATTATTTCCTGGAATTGAATGCTTTGACCGTTGGAAATTAGATTTTTTAGATTTAAACCCACCACTACTTATCTTAGTTTTTCCCGTCACTTAGGAAAATGCAAACGATCATTATGCCAAATGTAGTGGTCAAAAATTCAACTTTGTACCTTAAAGCAACAGCAGCGAAAAAATTCCAAGTCGCTTCGAGGGTGTAGAATTTTTGTCTGTTTTTTTGAATGGCTACAAGCAATACGTAGTTTTTCCAATCGACAGACGACAGCCGTTTCGAGAACCTTCTATTCGCTTTTTTAGTACCACTCCTACCGAGACAATCGAATAAGTCGCCACAAAAACCCATCTACGCCAATGGCAGTTTGAGAAATATTGTTGTGGCTATTGAACTGTCCACAACCATTACAATGGTCGTAACTCACAGCGTTGGTATCATAGCATGCTGCGATTATATGTGAACGTTTCTCTGTTGTCTAGTTACCTCAGGCATACTGATGCGTGTACCGCCTCCATCTGTGCTGTTATTGGGCGCCCTCTCTATATTTATGTTCTTGGTTTGCATCTTGAATCATTGATTGATGATCTGGATGGACAGGATACGATCTGAAACTATTAATTACGATCAGCGTTTGGAAACAATTACGAAACGAATACGATAAAGTTACAACATTATTCATGTTTATATTGTGGAAATGAATGGTCTTGGTCGAAGCTAACGTATGTATTCTTTGCGCATTTTTTTTTAATTTGTGCATTATTGTTGCGTACATGAAGCGTAATGTTTGCTTCTCGGTAACTGGTTGTGGAGTGAATGCGATTTTAAATTGACATAATGATTAAGATGAGAGAAGAATAAACTGACTAAGAGTGCATTCATAAACATACAATATGGTAATAAATTATATCCGGCAATTAATAATCTTGTCATAACTTTTCCCTGCCAGACAATATAGCATTCATTAAAGTAAATATTCCATCTAATGAAATCCATAACTGCAAGTACTCATAGACAATCAATCAGTCTGAGTATTCTCGAAATGTTCGCATTTTAAAGAATTAACATTGGATTCATTCTGCTTTTGTTTTACGACACAGCAACAGATTTTTGTTTCTTATTTTAAAAGAAAACACCCTTTGTAAGTGACCACGGAGTGTGAATCATGCGAGATGTTGCAACCGACATTTAACATCTTCCTACACATACAGTACTGTCAACTTTATCGTGTACGTGCGTAGATATGTGACATGCAAGAACTAAGATCGTAAAGAATTATTTACGAAAGATAAAATTTAAATATCAAAATTGTCCCCTTGGCTTTTTTCTGTTTTCTCCTGTTGTCACTCTGTCATCAAAGATAGCACTAGAACCTCGAAATGGGGCTCAGTTTAGGAATTTCTTTTTTAATTTAAAAAACAAAAGGAGATAAGTTTGACAGAAAACATGCACACAAAAAAATATTTGAAATTTTCTATTTTCTAGCATATTCCTGGGATAAAAATTTTATATTTTCTCCAAATGGATCTGTCAAAGCTGAGACTTCAAAGATCCTCTTTGACTTTATTACCTTGTAGATAGTGGGCGACAATGAAAAAGTCCTCAATATTCCATCCGTCTATAGTAAAACATTTAACTTGATTGGCTTTTAGTATAGTTGTATCAAGCATGATACTCTTGCAGATTGTAATTTCGTTCTGCACTTTGGTGATAAATACTGTAATTTTTTTGTTTTTGTTTCCATGCAATTTTTAATTAGGAGCACCACTCCTTATTCTACATTAGTGTAAGACATAGAAATTCTCTTTGCTAAGGTCACGGTCTGTAAAATTTAAAGGGTCACTGTCTCTGCTACCACGAAGCCACAAGCAATGACGACCACAAAAGGAAAAGTACCCGTACCCATTATAGGAACACACACCTGCCTCTATTATTTATTGTATTAAATTCAATAATGTCCGTCAGTACTTACTTATTGATAAAATAGAATCCTTTGAATTATCACAGGGCTTACTGGATTTTATTTAGTCTTGGATACAAAATTCCCTGTGTACAATACAAAGGCTGCAAATCAAAGCTTTTTAAACAAAACTCCGGGAGTTCCAGAGGGGTCTATTTTGCGACCTTTATTCTTTGTAGTTTATATTAAAGATTTTTGTTCCAGGTTTGTCATACGCAGATCATATTCATACAAAAAAGATATAACAAAAACATTGTAATGTGTTGTATATATACGAGTAAGCGACGACATGGGTTGGAGGAATGTTCCAGACTCGTGAGTTGCAAGCTGTGGTTAGAAGCAGAATAAAGATTATATCGAAGTAATGTGTGACTTTTCCTTTAAAATTAAAACTGATAATAAGAGGAGACCAGAACATGGTATCAGGTGTAAAAAGTGAAAAAGGATAGAGAAAGTCACGAGTGTGACGTTGCTAGCCAAAAAGAAAAGTGAGGTTAAACGTGACAACACGTAAGATTGTTATAATGGAAAATTCCACGTTTAAACCACCCAAAAGTTTGATTTTTGGCGAAAATATCCACGAACATTTCCAGAAGATTAAGAAGAGTTTTGAAATATATCTGATAGAAACAGGGCTCGTAAAGAAAACAAACGAAACGAAAGTTGCTATTTTTGCTCGAGATGTTTTCCACACTTTCAAACTAACGGATTCACATAAAAAAAATACGAAGAGGTCACAAAAGCCTTCGATGAATATTGCCAGCCATGACCGATACAAGTTTTTCACAAGGATACAAAAATAAGGAGAAAAGTTCGATCATTTTCTGACGGAAGTCAAGACTTAGGCGAAATGTTGCACTTTTGGCACATTAGAAGACTCATTGATAAAGGAGAAGAGCATTAGAGGGGTGAGGGATGCTGCCCTCCAGGGGAGATTACTTCTGGTTCCAAAATTAATCTTGGAAATGGTGGAGCAAACATTCAGAGCGTCATAACTTCCAGCTCCAAAGGTTTCGGAAGAGACTGTGAATGAGGTACCAACCAAGAAGGCATGATGCACGAAATTGCCCACCCTATGGCAAAAACTATATAAGTGTAAAAAAACTCAATAGTTTTGCTGTTGGGTGTAAAGTTAAAACGAATAATAGTAATAAGCAGACTTCGCCATAGCGGAAGCAATGATCTTTACCGTTCGATCGCCAGCGCTTTTGCAGTCGTGGCCTACAACTTCGGGAATTCTTAATAACAATTACTACTTTTTCTCGGTTTTCCTCAGTTATACGAGTTCTCCTAGATGTTAAAATGCTTTAAAAATTAAAAATGATTGTTCTACTTCCCAATTTTCGTGATTATCTTGATTAGATAAGCCCTGATTTGCATCAAACGCCACTGAGGTTGAGATGTGGTTGAGACTGCACAGTGGGCAAACCAAATTTATCGCCTGACGTCGCGCCGTCATTTTTAATATTTGTCTGGTTACCCATTACTACGGCTGTGCCTGTGTAGAAAATAGTGATACTGAACCATATATTGACAGTATTTCTATAATTAATCATAATGGTAATACAAGCAATATTGGATTTGCAGGCCACTTACTGTTTATCAGAATTTAAGATTAGGCTTTTCAACTATCAGTCAAAACGATACATCCTTAGTCACTGATGCTAATACTAAAATAAAAAGTCTAGGAACAGTTATCCAAAAATGTTGCGTAAATGAAATTGAAAACAACATCAAATTTGTTATACTTGATTTAAAGATCGTGGCCGTAATTTTTGGGTTAAATCCTTGCATCAAGTTAAACTTAATACAAAGAGTTGAAGTAATATAGAAAACTATGGCAGCTGGAGACTTCATTAATAAAAATAAGGGTGTGTTTGAGGGTACAGGGAAGATCCCTTTTCGATGTAAAATTTTTCTCAAAAGCGATGCACAGTCCGTAGTAAGTGCATGTAGAAGGATACCAGATACAGTAAAACGCAAACTAAAAACTAAAAGATCTAGTTAATAGAGGCATCTGTGAAAAGGTTGAAACACCAACCGAATGGGTTAACAATATTGTAATTGTCGAAAAAAGTTAATTCGCATTTGTCTAGATCCGGTACATTTTAATAAAAACATTTGTCCAGATCAATTTCCAATACCAACTGTTGAAGAACTTGGTTTAAAACTTCAGAATAAAAAGATGGTTACAGTTCTTGATTTAAAAGAAGAAATTTACCATGCCCCACTGGATGAACATAGCAGTATATGTACTGTACATTTACGACACCATTTGGCAAATACAAATTTAACAAGCTTCCATTTGGATTAAACGTCAGTCCAGAAGTATTTCAACGTGTAAATGAGAAAGTATTTGAAGATTTGCCAATTGGTATATACTTTGATGATGATGACTTTATAGTAGCAGGCGAAAATGAAGAGGAATATGACAACATTCTCAACATCATAATAAAAATAACTAGGAAATATGGGTATAATAAAGTGGCAAAAGACCCACTCATACAACACGAATGTCCAGAAATACCATTTGAAAAGATTGCTGCTAATATATTTACAAATGGGGGCAAAGATTATCTTACTTTAGGAGATCATTATAGTAATTGGATTGAGATGATACCACTTAAAACTAAAACACCTCCTAAAATAATTAAAAAATTAAAAATAATATTTAGCACTCAGGGTATCCCAGTAACATTCATGTCAGACAATATACATTTAAACAGTAGAGAGTTTAAAGAGTTTGCGAAAGACTAGGACAAAACATATTTTTTTGTCAAACAAGTGAGTAATATAGATGACTATTATTATATACTTACTTTCTGTTTTTAAATCATCCTATCTTGGATTTAGCAGTAATATTTAGCTTTAACATTTATTTTTGCTGCCATCTTACGTTATCTATTTATTTCTTGTTGAACTATAAATGAATTTAAAGCTGTTCACCAAATGGCATTATAATAATGACAGTAATAATTTATAAATTAACTTTTACTAAATATGATATAACCTGGTTACTTCTTCCGGCACCTGTTATTAAACACAGAATACATAGCACCATCTATAACTGTAGAGTACAGTATAGTGTCCGAAATACTACAAGGTTATATGCCCCCCCTAAACTCAACAATAGGATGTTATCATTCCTTTTGTGCGGCTTGTTACCGGCTTAATATTAGCGTCATAAACCAAGGATTTGTCTCAATATCTTGTCACCTTAATATCTACTGCTGGGTATTCCATTCCATTGTCGTCTTCAAAATCCCTAATTTTACAACAGCCATATAACCTTGTAGTATTTCGGAGATTATAGCTATGTTCATCTATACATGATTATTCACGAGAAGCTCCACACTTAAAAATTCCAAGAAGCAACCAGAAATACAATTTCAGAACCATCTTTGATAATTCATATTTACAACAAAAAAAAGTAAAACATAGTAAGTTATCTGTTTTGTGTAACAACATTGACGTTGTGTCAGATAATGTCAATTTAAAATTAACATTTCTTCATAATTGATGCAGTGTGTATTTTATTCAATGATGTATTTAAACGGCGAAAAGATAATTTTGGTATATGGTGAGATTGGAGAGTGCTTCAAGGTATTGGAGAGGTTTTGTTTTGGATTTATTTGTTTTGATTTTAACCTAACAATCGACGTTTAGTTCCAAATTATCCAAACCAAACAGCTCTGTTTTACTTTAAAAAAATACTGATAGTAGACATCAAAGACTGCTATGTCATTGCATTATTAACTGCATTTCGAATTTTTCACGCGAGGAGCTTCTCGTGTAATTTCATTCTAATCGAGAAATTATCTTTCCAAAAGACGTTCGTAGTTCCAAAAATGATGGTGTTCATGGAAACAGACTACCGTGTTGCGACCTGTCCCTGTTAAAAATGCCCAATAAAATCCAATCTAAATTATATTGGGAACGCCCAATCTAAGATATATTGGGAACTCCCAATCTAAGTCATATTGGGTGCGCCCAATATAAATTGGATTGGGTATTCCCAAGAAAATTTAAACACATTGTCAAGCAATAATTTCGTGATTTCGTAAATTTCGGCATTCCAAAGGGTGGAAAAAAATGTCCACGGAATTGATTTACAATGTTTTGTTCCGTTTGCACAAGGTGAAAAAAATTAACTAATATATTTCACATATAAATACATAAGTTTTGTAATGCTGAGACAAAAAAGGTATCCGGGCCTCCTATGAAAAATGTAGTGTAATACATGTGGTATCTAGGTACGGATTAAAAGGAACAATAAAATTATTTTACAAAAGCACCCTCGTTATTTATTTTAAATTTTATTACGGGACAACATAGCTCGCAAAAAAGTCTGTGTTCCAACAATTAAATATATACTCAAAAAAGATTCCCAATTGAGCCGGCAAAGCGAACGGACGTGTGCGTAGGAATTCGTGTGCGAAAATTCATACCAGTGACAATAAAGGCAATATTAAAAGGAAACCAGCATTAGTGGCAATAATTTACTAAAATACTGGCAAGTACAATTACGAGTAGAAGTGCAAAAAGTGCGGAGCCGTTTTTAAGTGAAACGATAACAGCGAAGCGATTGGGGAGAAAAAAGCGAGGGATCAGCACAGATATCGGATAAACGTAAACACGGATAGGAGAATAACCTCCGAAGAGACGATCTGGGTTATATCCTTCCGCCGTGAAGGAAGTCAAAGACAAAGAGGTAATGAGTAGCAAAGGGACAGAAAGAAAGAAAAGGGATAGAGAAGTAGAGTCGCCGAAAGAGAACGAGCAGGTCTTCCAAAGAAGCAAAATAACAGTAAGATCACCTCTGCAATCGAGAGAGAAGGAAAATCAAGAAGATATAGAGATGGAGGAGGTCAAGAAGATGATCAACGAACTTGCGACACAAATTAGAGATGATATAAGAGAAAGTAACAAACAATTATTGAACGAATGGAATACACAGCTTAAAGAGGAGCGTAAAACAATAAGAGAAGAATTAAAGCAAACAAGAGATCAACTACAGGGGCAAAATCAAGAAATTAGAGATAAGTATGAAGAATGGAAGAGAGCTAAGGAAGAAATGGGAAAGAGAGTGGGTGAAGTAGAAAGTCAACTAGATCGAATGGAGAAAGAAAAGAGAAGAAACAAAGTAGTGATGATGGGATTGGACATAGAAACAGGAGAGCAGAAGCAGATAATTGGAAAAGTGACAAAATTTTTAGAAGAGAAAGTCAAAGTAGAGAGTAAAGTTAAAAGCGCGTACAAAATTGCAGAGAAAGTTTATGTAGTGGAATTCGAAAACAGAGAAGAAAAAATAAATGTAATGAAAAGCAAGAAGAACTTAAAAGGGTCGTCAATTTACATAAGTAATGATCTGACGAAAACGGAAAGAAAAATTCAAAACAAGATAAAAGAAGAGGCAACAAAAGAGAGAAATAAAGGAAAAATGGTTAGAATGGGATATAAAAAGTTAACTGTAGACGGCAGAAATTTTAAATGGAATGAAGAAGAGGGCAGACTTAAGAAGGCAGAAAATTTTTAGTAAAGAGCCAAAAGAGAAGGAAGAAAACGAGGAAAAAGGGAAGCAAACAAGGCAAAGAAAAAGGAAAAGGAATAAAGGATGTAGATAGGGAAATCGGAAAAAGGGAAGCTGGTACAAAATTAGGAGAAAAAGGGGTGAAGGTACTGTTTTGGAATGTCCAAGGGTTGCGAAGAAAGGAAAAGGATTTCTGGGACTACGTGGGAAAATTTGATGTTGTGGGGCTAGTAGAGACTTGGGTGCAAAGAGAAAACTGGGAGAAATTGGAAGACACTACCACAAGAATATGTGTGGGAGTGTCAAGGGACGACAAAGGAAAAGAAAAAGGGGAGAGCAAGCGGGGGAATAGTAATGGGAATTCGAAAAGAAATGCAAGAATTGGAAAAGGGAAGTAATAATAAAAACGGACTAATGAAGAAAGCAATACAGCTGGATAACAATCGATGGGAAATAATAACCGTTTATAGCAAGAAAATGGAGGAAACCAAGATAAACATAGAAATGGAAACAAAAGAAAAAGGAGATGAAAAAATACTTATAGGAGGGGATTTTAACGCAAGATTGGGCGATAAGGGGACAAGAATAATAGATAAAGAAAAGGGAGAGAAAAGAGGATCAAAAGATAAAGCAAATAACAAAGAAGGGAAAATATTGTGGCAGATAATAGAAGAAATGGGATTGGAAATTTTGAAAGGAAACAAGGAAGGAGATGAAGAAGGAGAATGGGTGTACGTAGGGGCGAGGGGAGAATCAATTATAGATTATGGGATTGTCAACGAAGAGGCGTGGGAAGAAATAGAGAGTTTCAAAGTGGGGGAAAGGGTAGAATCAGACCACATGCCGCTAGAAATAAAAATCAAAGGAAAAGAGCAAGAGTACGAAAAACAAGAGAGAAGACACGAAAGAAAATAATTAGAAAAAAGAATATGGGATGAAGAGGGAATTCAAAGATACAGAAGTAGACTTGAAAAAAAGAAATTCGAAGTAAAAGAAGATATAGAAGCTATGATGGTGGAACTGAGCAACCTAATTGTAGAAGCTACGGAAAAAAGAAAGATATACATATGGCAAGGGAGGGATAATGGATGGAACGGAGAATGTAGTGAGTTGAAGAGAAAAGCAAGTGAAAAATTAAGAAAATGGAAGAATAACAAGGGAAGGAAAGAAGAGTACCTAAAAGCAAGAGAGAATTATAGGAGAAAATGGGAAGAAAGAAAAAGAGAAAAACGAGAAGAAGAAGAGAAGACAATAAAGTCCCTGAAAACAGAAGAGCAAGTATGGAGATATATAAACAAGGAACGGAGAAGGAAGACTGAAGTCAGCGGGAAAATCAAAATACATGAATGGAAAACACACTTTATGGAATTATTGGGAGGTTGTGAGGAAAAATGCTGCAAAGTAAATAAAGGAATCACAACGACGGAAGAAGTGTGGAGAGGTTCGGAAATAACAAAAGATGAAATAGAAAGACAGATTGGAAGACTGAAAAGAGGAAAGGCACCAGGAGGGGATGGAATCCAGAACGAAGCGTGGATGTTCGGGACAGAAGGAGTGAAAGAAAAGATATGGGAAGTGGTAAATGGAGTTTGGAAGGGAAAAGGGTTTCCTCGGCAGTGGAGAGAAGGTATAATAATCCCATTATTTAAAAAGGGACAAAAAAGTGATGTGAAGAACTACCGAGGGATTACCTTGCTCAATACGGCGTACACGCACGCAAATGTTTTGAGCCTATGGGCGGATCATTTTTGCCTGCCCTCACCGAAGAAGGCGGTCCAAATCCTTCAAGGGCAGAATTTGTAGGTAGGCTCAAACTACAACGAAATTTACATTTGGTAAGAAGTATTTATGACACACCAGTTCTCTCAAATTTGTCGGAGAAGATTTAGCAGGTAGTTGTTCCCATAAAATAATGGTCACTTTTCGTTCGTGAGTAACGATGGTCCGGACAGGAATTATTTTGCTTTCTAACATCTTTCGACCAATTGTTCCGTATATAAATGTTCATAATAAATAAATAAAAAAAAACGATATTGTCGTTGAGTGACATGCAACTGGCATAATAATAAAAACGTGCCATTTTTGTTAACTGATATTTTTTTCATAAATGTCGCAAAATTATTAAATTTGTCTAATCATCCCCACCAATAATGTGATTACGTCACTTCAAATTTATGCATAGTAAAAGGGTTTTAAATTGTATACAGTAACATAGTCCTACACATGT